AGATTCATAAACCAAGCAGCTGCGAGTCCAGCTGGGGGCTCAATGGTGACATGAATAGGGCTTTGGGCATTAATTTGATGGGATGGCTTGATATCGCCCTTGCAGAAGAACAACAAATTTAAAGCAAGCTCTGAAATTAGAAAATTAAACAAAAGGGTATTGAGTTGAACTGTGTCTTTCTCCAGATTCTGCTGTCTGACGCCTCTGAAATCCTTAGCTTTCTCTGGGAAGGATGCAATTCCTTTCTTTATTTTTTTTTTTTTTTAATAGACTACAGCACAACAAATTGGTATTTCCTTGAAAGCTACCAGTTGGTCAGGCATCAGGGGAAAAAAAGCCGTGCTTTTGAGCTTATGGCAGAACAAGAGGAAGAAAGAGAAGAGACAGGCAGCTCCTGCCCTATCTGCACAGCAGCAAAAAGCCTCAGCTGCAGGCATGCAGAAATGCTTCCCGGGGTGGACTGTGGAATGGACAAACAAGTCACAGAGGTACTGCCCAATTCAGTTGTCAGAAAAATCTGAAATTCAAGGAAGGAATTTTGCTTTCCTTTGACTTGCTTTACTTTTGGAAATGTTCCTTCTCAAAGACGCAGAGCATGTGGGAGCAATGCAGAGGACATCCAACAGTTCAATTGTGGCACACAATGACAGCTGCCCCCATTATAACTTCCAAGCCAAGGTTTTTTACTCCGTAAGACTAAGGTCATTACAGCTCAGGGAGCTGAGACAGTGCAGTGACACATGTTCCTTAGGAAAGGAAGATGTTTCCTTAATCAACAATAACTTGGAATTTTGATTTGGTGGTTCCTTAATCACCAGTAACTTGGATATTCTTGGTTATCCCAACTTCATTTCTTTAATGATCCATGTGCCTTCCAATCTACTGCAAAGGTTACATCTGATTACAAATTTACTGCTGGATCAAGTAATGAGATAAGAGGCACTCTTGAAATAAACCTGTTCACTTTATTGAAAACTATGAAAAATATTTAAAGAACCAGAAGTCTGTGCTAGAAGGTGCTGCATAGGAGGAGAGCAAGACTGGCACCAGGTTAGCGGGACCGTGACTGTGACTTGCTGAGGAAGGCAGAGGACAGGGACAGGGACAATCACTGCCTTCACGGCAATTTCTACCCCATGAAGGTCTGATGGAAGATACAGATGTGCTCCAGCGGGACGGGTCTGTAACACCCCTTCTGCCCCTCCTCCATGGGAGCCAGGCTCTGTCTCACCTGCACTTAGTCTCCAATTCCCACCTTTCTGGATATGCTTTAAATCAGGTCCAGCAGTCCCCAACTCTCCCCGCAAATGCTCCAGTGTCTGGTGAACAGAGCATTATCCTAAAAAGCACTAAGCATCCAAGCTCCTTCGGGTGAAGAGGATCTAAAACCTGTGTGTTGGACTGCTGGTTAATCCCCAGCTATTACGCTAAAGGCACTACGACTACTGAACCCCTTTCCTTTGTAAAATAAGTCAGCGTTGCCTAGGTGGCCACCTCTGAGTAGGACTCAGTGGTCTGGGAAGCACCTTCAGCAACTTATAACAGCGTTTTCCAGCAAAGTTGGAAGAGGAAATGTAAGAGTTTAAACAGGTGGGCTGAGGCACCTCTTCAGCTCCCCAGAAGCACAGTCCTCCCCACCTTGTCGACAGGGAACACAAGGCTTCAGAGAAGTGTTTTTCATTTAAAAAACAAAAAGTCTTACAATATGACTTTCTGTACTGCAGGAGACCTTCCTCTCCTTCACAAACGTTTATAGCAGCCAGAGAACACTAAATTGTCTTTAGCTGTAGAGGGAAACTCCGTTTCTCCAGGGATGGGAAGTAGGAATAGTTACAGCTATTGAGAGGTAAAAATAAATACTCTCTGCCCTGAAGGAACTGACTGCTACCAGTACCTTCAAGTAGTCATCACTCTGGGAGAGGTTTGAATGTGCCCTTGTCCCATGGATTGAAAACATTGCCTCAGGACCCTGATCTCCATCTTCCCTAGCTCCCATCCCCCCAAACAGGTGCATAACATTCAGGCAAGGCAATACTTACTTTAACTGCTGTGCACACAGAATTAGGGTAGGCACGAGGATCCCATATTATCTTTTATTATATCTCTGTAAGTATTGGACAGGGATTTGTGACAGATGAGAAGCAGGGGTGTTTGCTCTCATTGGGACTTCTACAACACTTATCCACTTACTTGTCCTGTCATTAACACTATTGCTGCATGGACTGCAATATATCAAAAAATTCATAGCAAGAAGTACTGTGCATCCTTGTTTCTCACTTATTACAATTACAGTATTTCAAAGGAAGTAGCCTGTCTCATTAAAAGTGACTGAAAAAAATATTATATAAAAAAAAAGCAACAGTCTGTCAAAACCTAAGATTAATATATCTATCCCAAATCAAACCACAAAATTTATCAACACTTACAAATGCTTTATAATCACATGACTGGAAGATGAGTTTCTCTGGATGATGTTGCCAATATTGTACAGGTGTTGATGCTGTGGCTTCATTTGGAGGTCGCAAGGTAATTGAAGGCTCTCCCCAGTCTCCTGTCTGAAAATCACAGTTGTTCAAGATGTAAGAGAAATTGTAGGCAAATTCGCTATAAAATAGCCCTCCATTGTTGTGCTCAATTAACAATAATTTATTTTCTACACACAGAGCCATGTTACTAAAATAAGGGAATACAACTCCTACAACATCTTCCATGATTTAATTTATAATCCAAAGTCATCTACTGTAGTGTTTAATGAGGCTTTAATTAAATCTATTTGCTTTGAGAATAAAATCATTAGGCAGAGGAAATGTTCCTTAAAAATAACTGTTTACATTGGAATTTTGATTTGGTGGTTCCTTAATCACCAGTAACTTGGATATTCTTGGTTATCCCAACTTCATTTCTTTAATGATCCATGTGCCTTCCAATCTACTGCAAAGGTTACATCTGATTACAAATTTACTGCTGGATCAAGTAATGAGATAAGAGGCACTCTTGAAATAAACCTGTTCACTTTATTGAAAACTATGAAAAATATTTAAAGAACCAGAAGTCTGTGCTAGAAGGTGCTGCATAGAAGGAGAGCAAGACTGGCACCAGGTTAGCGGGACCGTGACTGTGACTTGCTGAGGAAGGCAGAGGACAGGGACAGGGACAATCACTGCCTTCACGGCAATTTCTACCCCATGAAGGTCTGATGGAAGATACAGATGTGCTCCAGCGGGACGGGTCTGTAACACCCCTTCTGCCCCTCCTCCATGGGAGCCAGGCTCTGTCTCACCTGCACTTAGTCTCCAATTCCCACCTTTCTGGATATGCTTTAAATCAGGTCCAGCAGTCCCCAACTCTCCCCGCAAATGCTCCAGTGTCTGGTGAACAGAGCATTATCCTAAAAAGCACTAAGCATCCAAGCTCCTTCGGGTGAAGAGGATCTAAAACCTGTGTGTTGGACTGCTGGTTAATCCCCAGCTATTACGCTAAAGGCACTACGACTACTGAACCCCTTTCCTTTGTAAAATAAGTCAGCGTTGCTTAGGTGGCCACCTCTGAGTAGGACTCAGTGGTCTGGGAAGCACCTTCAGCAACTTATAACAGCGTTTTCCAGCAAAGTTGGAAGAGGAAATGTAAGAGTTTAAACAGGTGGGCTGAGGCACCTCTTCAGCTCCCCAGAAGCACAGTCCTCCCCACCTTGTCGACAGGGAACACAAGGCTTCAGAGAAGTGTTTTTCATTTAAAAAACAAAAAGTCTTACAATATGACTTTCTGTACTGCAGGAGACCTTCCTCTCCTTCACAAACGTTTATAGCAGCCAGAGAACACTAAATTGTCTTTAGCTGTAGAGGGAAATTCCGTTTCTCCAGGGATGGGAAGTAGGAATAGTTACAGCTATTGAGAGGTAAAAATAAATACTCTCTGCCCTGAAGGAACTGACTGCTACCAGTACCTTCAAGTAGTCATCACTCTGGGAGAGGTTTGAATGTGCCCTTGTCCCATGGATCGAAAACATTGCCTCAGGACCCTGATCTCCATCTTCCCTAGCTCCCATCCCCCCAAACAGGTGCATAACATTCAGGCAAGGCAATACTTACTTTAACTGCTGTGCACACAGAATTAGGGTAGGCATGAGGATCCCATATTATCTTTTATTATATCTCTGTAAGTGTTGGACAGGGATTTGTGACAGATGAGAAGCAGGGGTGTTTGCTCTCATTGGGACTTCTACAACACTTATCCACTTACTTGTCCTGTAATTTCTCTAAGACTATTGCTGCATGGACTGCAATATATCAAAAAATTCATAGCAAGAAGTACTGTGCATCCTTGTTTCTCACTTATTACAATTACAGTATTTCAAAGGAAGTAGCCTGTCTCATTAAAAGTGACTGAAAAAAATATTATATAAAAAAAAAGCAACAGTCTGTCAAAACCTAAGATTAATATATCTATCCCAAATCAAACCACAAAATTTATCAACACTTACAAATGCTTTATAATCACATGACTGGAAGATGAGTTTCTCTGGATGATGTTGCCAATATTGTACAGGTGTTGATGCTGTGGCTTCATTTGGAGGTCGCAAGGTAATTGAAGGCTCTCCCCAGTCTCCTGTCTGAAAATCACAGTTGTTCAAGATGTAAGAGAAATTGTAGGCAAATTCGCTATAAAATAGCCCTCCATTGTTGTGCTCAATTAACAATAATTTATTTTCTACACACAGAGCCATGTTACTAAAATAAGGGAATACAACTCCTACAACATCTTCCATGATTTAATTTATAATCCAAAGTCATCTACTGTAGTGTTTAATGAGGCTTTAATTAAATCTATTTGCTTTGAGAATAAAATCATTAGGCAGAGGAAATGTTCCTTAAAAATAACTGTTTACAATACATATATGAGGATGAGAGCACTTGAAAAAACATCATGAGATGCACAAAAATGCCATTCACAAATTCCGCTATGTGTTTTACAAGCTTTTCTACACAGTTAATAAGTCTTCCATTATCCAGCACATATAACCGATAACTAACTTTCCTAAATGGCTAAATAACTAAGACTTTGCTTTGATCTGAAAACTTCTTATACATTCTTCAAATATATGAGGCATTCTTTAATCTCTTTATGAATATTTACTTTGATCACGTCCTCTTGAAGTCTTATTGTAGAGTTACTAACATTGCCTTTCCACATTCATCATTCTCATTGATATAGGTGATTGCTTTCCTGAGCTGTCATCTCCCCTCTTTCCTCCAAGCCCTCCGAGAACCTCAGAGACTGCAGTTTGCTGCCAAATCCCTTTGCAGGACACTCTTCTCCCTTCCAAAAAGAGCCAACGCAGGCATGGGTACAGGAATG